AGGCTATAAGTATTCATTTGGTATGTAAACCAATAAAGAAATATTATCCACTAAGGACACCTAATGCCTGGGCCTGGCAAAGTATTTATCCATTGAGCCTTGAAGGAGTATAGTCAATGGGCAGATACTAATTGCAGTGAAGGAGGGAGTCAGAAATCAGAGCCATAGAAGAGGGTAAGTGACAGATCCCTAGGTGGTAAAAAAAGTCATCATAGAGATGAGAACTGGACTGAATGAGAACAGATCAGGAAGTGGAGCATAAAGGAGGCCAGAATGAAAGATTTTGGATTTATTCTGGGTATAGTGTCTCAAGAGCTAATTAAGTTAGGGGCATAACTGCTGGATTAAGAGGGCTTATGCCTCTGCACAGTGGTTCATGCCTATAAACCTAGCACTTTGGGAGGCTAAGGTGGGAAGATTGCTTGAGGTCAATTTGTGTCCAGCCTCAGCAAGAGCAAGACCCCATCTCTATGAAAAAAAAAAAAAAAAACTAGCTGGGCATGCTGGTAAGTGTCTGTAGTCTCAGCTCCTCAGGAGGCTGTAAAGGGAGAATCACTTGAGCCCAGGAGTTGGAGAGTACTGTGGGCTATGATTGTGCCACTGCACTCTAGCCAGAATAAAGCAAGACCCTGTTATAAAAAAAAAAAAAAAAAAAAGGGTGACATAAGGGCTAGAGCATTATGTGAATCCAAAACCCACACATTCAAACTGAAAGACACAAGGTAAATGTTGAATCACTATGTAAATGTTAGTTACTGTATTCATTGTTATTTTGTAACAGGAATAAAAGGATTTTAGACAATTTATCAAACATGTTCAGGCATTTTGGATCTATTTCTAAAAAATAATTTTAGGCAGACATTAAAAAAAAGTTAATAAAACTTCTATTTCAGCCACTAGGCATAGACCACTATTCAGCCACTATTCCACTGATGGGCACAGACAAAAAGAAAATACCCCCCAAAAATCTAGCTTTCTCTGGCCAAAGTACTGATACAAAGATTATGGTTCAGTCACAGGGAAGCTTTTTGACTATACCTGCTTATTTTGGAGATGAACACCATAAAAAAGTCTACACTACTCCCCAGTCCCAATGGCTGCTGCAGCAGTGGAGTAAAACCTGTTTTATATCCTCTTCTGCAGTAAGGAGGTATCTTTCTTTCTCCATGAAGTCTGTAGGTAAAGCTCTTACTTCTGCTTTTGTGCCTGCTCCTCTCAATAGTAAGTGGTGCCCACCTCCCAAACACCTGTTGGTGAAACTCTGACTTTAACCCTGCCCTGCCATAGCAGTAAGGAAGTAGTACTCCTGCCTTCTGGAGACTGCAGGTAGAGCTCTAACTCCTCCCTCTTTCCCCTATTACCCAGCTGAATAAGTAGGTAGAACTTCATCTTCTGCTCCTTCCATGTAGTAATGAGCTGGTACTCTTCCACTTCCCCAGCTAGCTCTGTGGAGACTATTGAGTAGAGTTCTGACATCTGAGTGGGCCAGACCAGAATAGCACTGTAGAGGCTTTGTTAACTAAGTTGCCATTGGAACCACAGTCAACAAAAGTGATTTGGGACATGTGTTCTGAACCTAAATAGGATGACTGTCTGCTAAAATAGAAGATTTAAGTAGAAACTAGATTTAAATAATATAATTCAGTATGTTCAGGATATAGATCAAAAATTACTCATTATACCAAGAACCAATAAGATGTCAACTCCAAGGAGGAAAAGATAATCAATATATGCCAATACCAAAGTGGCACAGATGCTGGAATTATCAGACAAGGATTTCAAACCTGCTATCATCAAAATATCTCAATGAGCAATTACAAACACAGTGGCAATGAATGGAAAATTAGGCAAGGACAACACAGAAATAGAAGGTATTTCTAAATGAAAATTTTAGAATTGTAAAATACAATAACTGACACAAAAAATTCAGTGGATGGGCTCAATGGCAAATTGATGTAGAGATTTGGTAAATTGGATGATACATTGGTATTGATCCAATCTAAACAATGAAAAAAAAAAAGAAACCATTGAAAAATAATAAGTAATAGAACTGACCTATATTTTCATTATATAATATAAAAAGAAATGTGGGACTGAAATAAACATGCTTATAGAAATTATAGCTCAATATTTTAAAAATTTGATTGAAAGACATAAATTGCCTATTTAAGAAACTAAGTGAATAAGATAAACTCTAAGAAGTCAACACCTAGACACATCAAAGTCAAGCTTCTAAAAACTAATCACAAAGAAAAAAAGTCTTGAAGGCAGAGGAACTAAAGAGAAAAGACGTTAGCTACCGGGAACAATAATATGAATGAACATGTCTCTGTTTATACGTCTGATTTTATATACTCAGGAAGGGTTTATAGTTTTCATTTAAAGGTTTTCAATGGCTTTTGTTAAATTTATTCTGAGGTATATAATATTTTGATGCTATTGAAAGAGGAATTCTTTTAAAATTTTATTTTTTAGTTTTTTTACGTTAGTATGTAAAAATAAAGTTGGTTTTTGTATATTGACCTTCAGCTTATAATCTTGCTAAATTCACCCATTATTTATAGTGGTGGTTTTATGGATTTTCTACATAGGCAATCATTCCATCTGTAAGTATAGAACGTTTTACTTCTTTTCCAAACTTTATGCTTTTTCTTTCTTTTTCTTGCCTTATTACAAAGGCTTGGACTTCCAGTGTGCCTTATCTAATGTAAATGGTAAAAGTGGGCATCTTTGCCTTGTTCCTTATCTTCGAAGGAAAGCTTTGAGGAAAGTATTCCTATTAAGTGTGATGTTTTTTATTGTTGCCTTTTATCAGATCAGGAACACGATCTATTCCTAATGTGCTGAGGGTTTTTATCATGAACTAATGTTGGAATAGTGGGAAGTGTTTCTTCTCATCTACTGAAATAATCATAATCATGTGGATTTTCTCCATTATTGCAGTGGCTAATTACAATGGTTAATTTTATAGTATTAAACCAATCTAAGATTTCTGAAATAAACTCCCACTTGGTCATGATGTATTATCTGGGCTTAATTTGCTATTATTTTGTTAAGGGATTTTATGTCTTTGTTCATGAGGGATATTTGGAGGGCTCCAGGGGGGACTCTGATGCAGGCTGGGGTCCAAAAAGGGAGAAGGCATTAAAGGAAAAAAGAGACTTTACACCAACTTAATGCATAAAGTCTGAGAAGCCTGGAGAGGCATACATTGTCTCATGCACTGAGTGGCATATTGAGGCAATGCAGCAGCACTCTGATTCCTCAGAAACCTTTTATTGATCTCTAAGACCAAGCATTTGTGAAAAAAATGCAAAGGTATCAAAATTCAAAAATAGGAAAAAAAAGAATCCCAGGTGGGAAGATTGAGTGGAAGAGTGATCGGCGTAATTGGGAACATAGGGTAATAAATTGTCAACAACTGTCAGATAATGGATTTAGAAAGGGGGAGAGGAAAACAAGTTTCATCTCTGCAGGGCAGACAAACCAGCTTCCCTATAACTTCTGGTTAAGAATCAAAAGACCTCAGCCCACCTGCCTGCTGATTCTCCATGCAGGGATGGTCTTGATGACTTACCCTGTCTGGGTTGCCTCTAGACTCCTTTCTTCTTCCTTGGTCTTGATAAGAAGCTGCAGGGATGGCTTGCTTTTGCTTTACTCTGAATTGGAGAGCACAGAGAGATCAACCTGGGTACCTCCTACAGGATAGTTGTGTGTATTTTTATGTATCTGTAATATATTGTCAGGTTTTGGCATTAAGGTTATATTGGGTTTATGAAACAAACTAAGAGAAGCATTCCCTTCTGCTTTATTTTCTGGCTTTGTCACTCTTGGTGAATTTAGTTATCTTTTTTAAAAACTCTTTGGCCAAGGAGTCAAGGGTCCTTGACAAGGGTCAAGTATTACAAAAATATTTGTACATCATGAACATTTTCATCTTTTGTCTGATTTTAAAAGAGACTACTGAAATGCAGTGAGATAATATTAGAAAATGTTGGTTTGGAAGGGGAAATCATTAAAAATGATTCATGCATACCTTAAGCATTTATTTTAGACATGAAACATACATTCTTTTGATTCTGAGGCAAGGCAGTTTCTTTGAAAATACAGACTTGCTAATTAGGGTTAGGTGTCACATTTCTGACCTAAACCACACCTAAGTTCTGCCATGGATAAGGTACAATTTCAGTCTCTTATAATGAGGGGGATACCATTCAAAGTAATCTGAGTATAGAATGATTTTTCTCCTAGTATTTTGTGTGTGTTTCACCTACACTAAAATTGGCAGCAATTTTTAATTCACCTTTACTGAATAAATTTGTAGACACATTGAACTTAGTTTTCCTGAAAGTAACAATGCACAAAGGCAACACTTATCTCTTTTTTGTGTTATTTAATTAAATGTATCATTATAACAAGAAGTCCAATTGTTACAGACAGGTTTGGAATTAAACTTGATTCTTGGGAAAGGACTTTTTCTTTTTTTTTTTTTTGTTTTTTTTTGAGACAGAGCCTCAAGCTGTCCCCCTGGGTAGAGTGCCGTGGCATTACAGCTCACAGCAACCTCCAACTCCTGGGCTCAAGCGAGTCTCCTGCCTCTGCCTCCCAAGTAGCTGGGACCACAGGCGCCCGCCACAACGCCGGGCTATTTTTTGGTTGCAGCCGTCATTGTTGTTTGGCGGGTCCGGGCTGGGGATTCAAACCTGCCACCTTAGGTGTACGTGGCTGGCGCCTTAGCCGGTTGAGCTATAGGCGCCGAGCCGGAAAGGACTTTTTCACTGGTGGAAATAGAACAGAGAGGTTGTCAGAGAGTATAGTTTGCCAGCCAAGAGCATTCAGGATGTTTTAAGGAAAGATTTGGCAGCACTGCTTAATCCAATAAGTCATTTAAATGGAAGTTGGTCTGTAATAGACTCTGACTTCTAATAGCCTATGAAACTAGAATTCATTTGTAATGGGGGTAGAAATTAATCCTAAATTCTATTTATATCTTCCCTGCCTTCCTTTTCTTTCTTATTATTTACTGTGCTGTGTTAGGTTCATTGAATAGAGTGATAAACAAAACAGAGAGAGGGTTAATGGTGGGGCCACACCTATGGAGCGTATTGCAAGGGTACAAGTCAAATCTATCAAGTATTGAACACAAATGTCATAACACTGTGATTAAGTAAATGAGGTGAAAGCTATGTTAATTAGTAAGATGACATTAAATAAAAATTAAAAAATAATTTTAAAAAAACAGAGTTTCTGTTCTCAAGGAATTGAAACCCAAAGAGGGAGATATTGTGTGACCTCTTCAGACTTTATAATTTTTATGTGCTTGCTTTATGAAAGTAACTATGTTTTTGAAAAGAAGCCTGCGTCTGTAAGCAGCAGAGATGGATGAACATATAGAAAAATCTTGTGCCTTTCTTTTATGTCCTTTCCCCATTCTCCCCTAGAAATGTTATTAACAATTCAGGGAAAGTACAATAATGGCCGCCATTTGCTGAAGACTTGCAATGTAATAGACCCTTGCTTAGTGTTTTACACAGATTTTCTCATTTATTTTAATTCATATAGTTACCCTTTAAGGTAAGAATTAGGATTTCCATGAGCACATTAAAGAAATTAAACCTTGGAAAAGTTAAGTAAATTGCCAAGAGCTTCTCTGTTGGGATTAATGAACCACAGTCTGAGACCAAGTTTTTATAACTCAGAAGTTCCATCTCTTGATCCTTGCACCAAGGTGTAAGTCATGGGAGAAAGTTTAGATACTTTTTTCCATAATGTTCTTCTAGACCAGCGGTTCTCAACCTGTGGGTTGTGACCCCTTTGTAACAGTGAAAATACATTGCAACATTAGGAAGGTTGAGAAACACTGTCCTAAACAATTATGTTTAAGTATTCAAAATTAATGGAAAAACTGTGTTGAGATTTAATTATGTCATTGATGGTTATGTAACTCATGTTAAATATAAGTTATGACTTTTGCCTTGCTATATTTTAGTTCTCTTGAGAAATACCAGTTGATCATAATTTGCAAAGAAAGCTTCCACCATCCCTATGCTCTGCCCCGACTACTCACCCCACTTCCGTCTCATTAGACTAGGGATGATTAGTACCCTTACCAGTCTCACAAATACTTAATGGTCTGCTAAGTGCCATTCTTACCCAATGTCCAGTGTATTCTGATTTAAATCACCTTTCTGGCTGCAGCCGGCCTTTATAGGCTTGCACCCTGGCAATCTCTCTTTACCTCAGTCCCACCCCCACACTCCCAGACCAAGACACACACAAGTACAGCCCTGTTCTCTACTTCCACAGAACTTAACTTTCCTTAAACAATACATTTTTTAAAACTGCCATGTCGTTGCTCTTCCTTGTTCAGTGCCTTCCCACTTTTTGTGTGTTGTCAGACTGGGAAAATCCTACTTTTCCCTCAAGTGGCAATATAAATGTCACCTTCTCTGTGAAACTGTTTCCACTTTCTCCAAAAGAGGCAGTGCACATAACTTACCTCCTCACTCTCGGAGCATTTTATGTCTTTGGTAGAATCTTTCACATACTAGTTGTATTTCACTTTCTATCTGCCTGTTTCCCCTGCTCCTGATGGGAAGCTCCTAGAAAGTTAGATCATTGTGGGTTATGTATCTTTTATCCTTATTTAGCACCTACATATAATAGCTTCTTAATGAATCATACTGAATTGCTACAATATAGATAAATAACCTTGAAGTGCATCTTGGCACTCTGCCTGCTGTGTGTAAGTATTTTATTCAATCCTCATACATACCCTATGGTACAGAGATAATTATTACCCCATTTTGCAAATTAGGAATTTTAAGTTAAAAGAGGCAAAATAACTTAAGCAGGGTAATATAGCAGGAAGGTGATGGAATCAAGATCTGTACCTAGAGTGTCTGACTCCAAAGCTCATTCTGCTTTATACCAGTAGGAACCATTCATTTGTTTGTCCATTCTCTAGGGTAGTGTTTTTCAACCTTTTTTATCTCACGGCACACTTGAACCTATGGTTAAACATCCACTGCACACTTAAATTATGTAGATCAGAAAAAAGAGTAAAAAAGATAATCTATTTACCATGCTTCAAACTTCTTTCAAAAATAATTTAATTATCTTTAAAATTTTTCAGGGCACACCAGTGTGCTGTGGCATACCAGTTGAAAATCACTGCCCTAGGGAGTACAAATAGAAGGTACATTCTCCATTGCTAAGGAGGAGGATATAAAAGATACTCTGTCACCAAAAGGATAAGTGAGGTACCTTTGGAAGGGCTTGAAAGTCATTAGAATAATTTCCTTCGCTCACAGAAGGAGCTAAAGGAATCTGCTATGATCAGTACTGATAAAGTTGGATTGAGAGAATGTGATACCTGGGAAAATAACATTCCCTCATTGTTTTTGTAACGAGTGGATAAGAAAAGGAGAAAATCCATTGTTTGAAGAATGATGTGGATCAACAAATTCCAGAATACCTTTTTACAGGGGAGAAGACCAAGGTCTAGATTAATTAATCAACTTGCCCAAGGGTAAATAGCTAATAAGTAATAGAGTTTGGACTAGAGTCCCAATTCAGTGCCCTTTCGCCATAGTGTACTTATGTTAGAGTTTCTATGTTCAGGTTTAGAGGAAAAAATAATGCTAGACCAAGCCAGAAATGAGTATTTGAAGGAAACAGCTTGATGCTTTTAGACCTGGTCAGCTTTTGCCTAAGACCTGCTGTTATTTTAGGGCTTTCAGTTTGCTCAGAACTAAATACTGCCAGCCATACAAATAAAAAAGCAAAGCTATTATTTAGGCCTCCTAGGTGCAAGGGGAAATTATCAGTTCATCTCCATTGCTCAGTTTGAAAATAGGATTATGTTGGCCCTTGTCTTAGCCCTTAGATGTCCATTGGATCATCTCTGTTTCAGTAAATGCATGATCTATGCTTTCAGGTTGAGAGAGAGAGGAAAAGAAATCTAAATTTGTCTGTACTAACAATGATTTCTAATGCTGTTTCCTTCTGTTTGTCTTTCAGGACGATGAGGAAGGACCCAGGTAAGATCACATTATTGCTGCTGGGTCTTTTCTCAGAATTGATGGAGAGTGACATTTGTGGCCTTTTAATTCTCCATGAAATGTGGACAGCCAAGGAATAGCACAAAAAAGGGATCTCTATCTTAAGCCTGGGCTTTAAAGATCTTATTTTGTACGAGTCCCATCTCCCTTCCCATCTATATCATTTCCTGCCTGTAACCTTCAGATAAAAGGTAGACTTTAAAGTATATAATGATAGTTATATATATATTAATGATAGCAATACAAAATGATTGCTGCATTTTGTAGCACATTCACAATATCTTGTTGAGGAAAGTAGGCACTACATTTGAATATTTGAAGGGTAATTAGGCTGTCTGGTGAACTGACTAGATAAATTTTGGGTTCTTCTTGATTGGAATTGGATGGCTTTTTTTTTCTTAAGTGGGCTTTGGATAGTATATTATTTATTTCTGGCCTATAATGTCTTTATGTCTAGCTCAGGACACTTAAATAATGAATTCTGGGGCATAGGTATACAAAACTTGTTTGGGAAAAAAACGTTCCTTTATGCTTGTGTATCACCAAAATTGTATAAATTTTAAAAGTGCATTTTTATTATTACCTCAAGCCTTTCAATGAACCTGGACTTTTTACTTATTTTTACCCATTCTACTACAGCGCTGAGAATAAACTCCAGGAAATGCTGTGGCTGTGCTGTCAACACAATTGAGGGGTATTTGTACAGAGTTAAATGCAATGTACGGCTAGGCCCCATCTGTCACATAGGATCAAGGACTGTTAAGGCTGGGAAGTATCATACTGGTCATCCGGCGGCTTCTATTCACACTTTATTTTTAGAAGAAGCACCTTTTTTTCAAGTGGATTTTAAATAGAACCTCAATATGTGGGAAGTGATTTTTCTGTGGTTAAAGTTGGGGCCTTTGGCAAACCTTCTCTCTTCATCATAACAGACCCCGAGAGGCTTTTGCAGACACTGAGGGTTCCTCAGAATTCAATTTGAAAATCATCAATCTAGGTCAAGTCCCTCATTAAAAGAAAATAAATGAGTTGTCCAAGGACACCTTGCTGGAGCTGAGATTTGGCTGTTCTTTGAGCCATTTTTATTTACAAACCAAAATCTTTATCTCTAATCCCGAGCCCCTTTCTTCATGCCAAAGGTTATCCCAATATCTTCATTTCTTGGTGCTTACTTTCCTTGGAAACTGGCTCTCAACCTTTACTCTAGAACTACAAGAACCTATCCAGTTACTTGCTTTAAACTTACATAATTTCAGGGGACCCTTCAAACTTTATCTTCCAACTGGTCTCAAGAACAAGCTCCTTTTGTATTGTACATTTAGTGTGCTACTAGACACAAAACAGAATTACAACCATATGTAGCATTTTAAGTGGATAGAAAGAAGGGAAGGAAAGAGAAAACAAGGGAAGAAGGAGGGAAAAAGGAAGGAAATAAATGTACAATACAAAAGGAGCTTGAAGGTTTGCATTTTAGAAATCTTCCCTGCCTATAAAATAGGAAATGAATTGGCAGTGGTTCCGGAGCCTTAGAGACTAGTTAAACTAGGCTAGCAATGACAGGAGCTTAAGTCAATATATTTTCTAGTTATTGGCCAGGTTTTTACCATTTTGCGCAGACTGGGTTTAGAAATACTCATTGACTTTCTCCTTGTCATTGTAGCTCTCCCATTCTCAAGATTAGTCCAGTTTCTTAAAATTCAAGCCAGGCAGAGTGCTAGACCTTCTATCCCAGAAAAAGAGTTCAAATAAGACTATGATAAAGAAATAACATATTAGAGGTAATATGCAGGCTTCACAGGATAACAATAGCATTTCTGTCTTAGGATATTCTGTTTGGGATGAATACACTCATATTCTCCTTTTGGCCATATGCCAGAGTCATATTGATTAGAAAAATACAAGGACCTTATGAAGAGAATTAACTCTCTTCACAGATACTGTTCAGTGTAAGACAATGGCATTAGAGTTTAATTGTAGATATCTTTGTGTCATTTTGACAAAGTAGTGGAGAGGCATAAAGGTTTGTTGCTAGCACCAAGATGTCAGGCTCCCTCGAGCCAGGCTGCCATGGATGTCAGCAAAGAGTCCATTGGACTGGGACTTGACAGAACCCTTTTTGGTACAATGAGCACTTGAAGAACACATTCCAATTTGGCAGAAAGAGGGACAAGAATTCAGATTTTCTTTTTAACCTTTAAATTCATTCTTGTTGTTTCCATACAGTTTATTTGTTTTGAACTACCATTTAGCTCCATTTATTTCAATTAACACTTTAGGGCGGGTTCTCATTTATGACATACACTTTACCATTCAACAAGCCAAACAGAATTTTGTTCCAAAGGCTTCTGTTTCACTGACAGCATTCAGTGAGGGTTTGATATGTGAGGTAGGCAAAAAGGAAGTGTGGGTCTTCCCACACCAGGAATGGGTGACAAATGAACTGGAGATTCAGGTTCCAGTTCTGCTCAGATCATTATGCCTGTGTCTCCTTTGCTAGCCTGCTTTCCACATAGCTACTTCTCCATGTCTACGCTAATGTCCAGGGAGAATTAGGTTCCAGCCAGACTCCATACGGAAAGAACAAAGAATTCTTGTCATATGGAAATGTGCTTCTTTATGATAGATCTGCCTCCCTTTTTACCAGCTGAAGTCTCCCCATCTTCTTTCTTTTTTGTTTTGATTTCTCAAGCAGTTGATATGAAGGGACCAAATACTGTGCTTTCAATCATGTCTGTTCCTTGCCTGGAATTTTATTGTGTAGTTATCCTGTCAGTTAATAATAATAATCACTGCTACCATTTATTGACGGTTTATTATGCCCAAAGTGATGATGTATATTCTCATTTAATCCTTATGCAAAATCCTTAAGATTATCCTGCTTGACAAATGAAGAAATTGACGTAGATCATGCAGCTTATAAGTGGTAGAGCTGGGACTTGAATCGTCTGGCTTCAGGACTCAACCACCAGATGCCCTTAACCACCGTTTGGACTGTCTTCACGAGGCCAGCATACTTCTCTCTGTGACCCTATACAAAAGCCAGGAGGATTCAGATAATCCTCAGATAGATTACTTAGTCTTTTCCTCTAACTTGGGAATTCTTACAATTGCTTTGACATTAAATTGCTGTGGTCTCTGTATTCTGCAAGCTGCTTCCTCCTCCTTAGCTTTTGTCCTTATAAAGGGATGGATATTTCTTGGTCTCATTCTCACAAAGTATCTTGTGAGGGTCAGCTGCTATCCCTGAGGAGCAGCTAGCCAAGCTTTCCTTTGACCTCACAAAATAGCTTCCTGTTGCTTCTCCATCTGGTAGCTGACTAGTCACATGCATGATACAGTCACGGAGCTGGCAAGGATTCTCAGAGTGTGTGGAGGAGCAGAAGTCCTAACATACAGAACATGGGTATTAACTGCTATGGTGTCACCTTTTTAGAGGGTGTCTTTGAAGCTCAGAGTGATTTCTTTTTTCTGAGCATAAAAGCAATTTACACTTTTGGCAGCAATTTTCTGTCTTCTCTATGCTATTACGGGAGATCTTGTGTTTGCTCCCTCACAGATTGGCTCCTTTTTTACTCCTGCTGGAGCCTGCTGAGAAGTAATATGTATTTGAGGGGAGGGGGTGGCGATAGGATCTGTTGGCGTGAAAGCTATTGTGTTGTGGGAGGAAGTCAGAGAGAGAAAGACTCTTAAACTCTTGTGTTCAGAGAAAGAGCAAGATCAGAATTAAATTTTGATTTGAGGTTTTCTGTGATTTTTTTTTTAAACTAAGAGGGAAAATGGCTTTTTAATAGTAACAGCCATACTTGGAACTTCTGTAGAATTTTTCATCTTCAAAGCTCTGAGTTATTCAGGCAAAAAGCTCCTGCTGAGATCAGTGTGAATCTGACCCATGCTGATTCTGTGATTAAACAGGAAGCATGTTTTGAAGGAGTAGGAGCTGAAGAAGAGTCAGCAGACCTAGTTTCTATTTTTGGATCTGCCTGTGACTAACTGTGTGACCTTGGGCAAGTCATTTAATCTATTGGTACCCTGTTTTTATTTCCATGTAAATACTAGCCTCATTACTCCCACCCCTACCTTCACTTAGTTTTTTTGTTACATTTGTTTGGAGGGTCACAAGTCTTGTATCAGGTATGGAGTGAAAAGAATCTGCCGATAGATTGTATAATTTGGCAGAGATTTTTTTAACCTTTTCATTTTTGTTTCCTTAAAAATTATCTGGAGGCTGTATGCTAGGTATTCTTTTCCCCCCTCTAAATGAATAACCATATGTTCCTGAGATAATGGCATTTCTCTGACTACCTAGGTTGTAAGCAGTGATACCCTTAGGTTTCTTTTGTTTTTGTTTTCATGATTAAAGTTCATGGTTTGGTTGTCACATTGGCTTCATTTCTGGAGGCCTATCTGGAAGCCAAAGAAAATGGTTGTGATACTTGTGACATGGAATGAAACTATCAAGGCTGCTTATTATGCAGAGGGGGGCTCCAGCATTTAAGTCAGACTTTGAACATAAACAGTCTCTTAACTTTCACATTTCTCTCTTATGGAGCCTGTACTGACTTTGGATTGTCCATGCTGACATGGATTGTTTATCTCCTGTGTTAGCCAGATGAAAGATGAAGCCATTGTGCTGCCTTTCTATACCAAAAGCAAGCCTCTTTGCTAAAGTAATTGATTTTTAGAAATTTGCCTGTGAGAGTCACAAGCAAATTTATTTTGTGAATGTTGGTATATTAACCAGGGACTCCATTCACTGCTAGAAAATTTTGCCAAGGTGCTTCTAACTTACTGCATATGCTACCAACTGGACATGCTAACTCGGAGCAGTCTGAATTCTAACATATGTCTACCTGCTTTTTCTGTCTTCATAATGCTAAGGAAAGGGGCCTGGATACCACTTTGCAAACTTTGGTTCTACTTGAATCAGCTTTTGTTTGCCAGTACAGTATTTATGATGATTGACAGGCTAACCTTATTTA